TTTGGGGATTAATTGAGTGTAGTTTGCATTCCAAATGGGAAAGAAGCATTTCCGATCTTTAATGTTATTCATATTTAAAAACATTTGTGGTTCACTACAGATGAATCCTGGATATTTTGACATGATATAGAAAAGGTCCCCCTTTCTGCCCACCCCACTGCACCTTCCCTGCACACCAATAGTTCTTGTTCTCGTGGGCCTGTACAGTAGGGCCTGACAGCCAAGCACGCACTTTAATTAATGCTTACATTTTCTGTTGCTTTTTCCCCCTACCTGTCACTTTATCTACCTAAACATTTTTTCCATGGAACCTATCACTGCAATATGTGTTTGCAGAGAGTGTAGTCTGGCACATAGCATCAGTAATTTGTCTAATTAAAAAATCTCACATAATAGGCAATTTTTAATGAATAATAATTAGAAATAGATTTCAATTCCTTCTTAAAATCACTGCCAAGACTTGTGATATCCTGAGAATCTTCAGGATTTATAAGCCTTATTAGCAGGTTAGCCTTATAATCAAAGTACTTGTGGATAAAGATAGCTCATTTTAGAGAGCTAACTATCGCTAGGCAGGGGTTGTGAAAGATAAATGCTTTAATAACAATGCATTGTTTCTCCTATTAGCTTTTTAAGGACTCCACCTACTTACTCTTTGACAAAATATTCTTAACAAGGTAGTATCTCAATTGCACTCAAATTTGGAAGAGAAATAGGAATATTTCTTTCTTAAACATTTTGAACTTTAACTTGACTCTTTCCATTAAAGCATTAGTTGGAATTAATGGTCCACGCCAGAAGAATGACTGACTGTACTAAATTCATGAGATTTTTCTTACTGATAGGAAGAAGGGGTTGGGAATGAAGAACCAGTAATCCTAAAAATACATGCTAGTTCACATTGCGATGCACTATACCAGAATTTTCCTAGCTCAATAAAAGTATGCTAAGTTTGGATCATGTTTTTGGTTGCATTTGGAAAATATTGTCCCAGTTATTAATGCTTTTGTGAGTGATATCATGAGTTAATCCTTTTCTTTACCTAGTCACAATTTTCTGATGTAATTTTTAAATATCTGTTGAAAGCTAAATTAGCATTGTCAACTTTGCTTGCAAATTAATATTTATAATATTTTGACATAAAGCAGAGAATTTATTTTAGGACATATCTTTAAAGGTGTTAATATTTTTACAATTGCTTCAAATTTTTTTTAGTCATCTACCAGGTGACTTATTTTAATGCAGACTCTCTTTTCCCCAATTGCATAATTGATTTTCTTTTATTGCCTGGCAGTTGTGATTTAGCCTCTGCCTAGAGTTTAGCTTTGGGCATGAGAAAGTGGTATATTTTATGCAGTTAATTTATAATGTGCAATTTCTGCAAAACAGGTGACTTGGAAATAACAATTAAAGTGGTACAGTTTTGGGGAAACAAAACAAAAATCCCTTTCAACAAAGTTTGGGATAGTGGAGTCTCCCCGGCTTCTTTTTTGTTCATGGTGGTAGCCAGAGCATCTGGGGTGGGTGGCATTTTCCTGAGCTCACTAATGAGAAAACAAAGGTGCGGCCCTTGGGCTCCATTTCCATTGGTGTCCTTAGAATAATAGTCATTGAGAACTTCCTTGTTTGAGCTGTGTTCACAGCAGCAACCCTTACTTGATGGTCAGTTACCTCTGAAATACCTAATTCCTAAAAGGGAGATAAATCCCAGTCCCCTCCCCAATTGTCTAAGTGTTTGTGGAACAACATTTAAGTTTGTAATTTTTGTTGCTTAGAAAATAACATAGGAAGTTAGATTCTTCTGTTTGACTCTTGTATGTTTAGAGGGAATCCAGCTTATGTGTGAAGCAGCCAGAAAAGGATGAAAGTCTAGCCAAGATTTGATTATGGTGCAGTATTGAGTGTTTATAAAAACATGTACAGCTTGGCAGTGTCCAGGCCGTCTGTCCTTCACATGGGACAGGAGTGCAGTTGCTCGGCTGTGTGTGATGGACGTAAGAAGAGACATTGTTTGCTTTGGAAATGGAAAATTTATAATGAATATTAGGAAACCACTCACTAGGGAAATCTGGGCAATGGTACAATTAATTGCTTGTTTAGCTTTGCTTTAGTGCTGTTATTATTGACTTAAAATTTCAGCTTGAATTCTTGTTTAAATTGGTAACTTTTTGTATTGGTTGTTAAAATATCTTAAATAATTTTCACTGTATAACCATAAGAGACAAAAATGTAGTGCTATGATCTTGAAACTTTCCCAACTGGGTGAGAATTTCCCAGCCATTAATATCTAATGGATCTTCTTTCATTCGGGATTTGCTTCGTTTTCTCTCGTTCAGGGTCATACTCCATTGCCATGATTTCTTGCATTCATGTTGACATTTTCTTGAGTTCCTTTATTGCTTTGGGGGGAACAATTTTCATAGGGGTTCAGAGAAAAATTTCTGAGCCTTATATGTTCTGAAATGTTTTTATTTGGGCATCACTTTTGATCTTTAGATAGGCATAAACTCCTAGTTTCAAAACTTACTATTTGGGCTTTAAAGATATTATTCTACTATTCTGCTGACTTCTGTCCATGTCCTCCTCTTAGCTTCTGCTGTTTGTTGGTAATCCTTGGTATTTCTCAGCTTGCAGCTGCATAAATCCAATCTTTGCCTGAAGGGGCCTTTTTCCCTCTGTGGGTAGTTCTGTTCCCTTTCCCCTTTCTTATAATGACACCAGTTGTATTGCATTAGGACGCACCCTAATCCAGTATGACCTCATTTAAACTTGATCACATCTGCGAAGACCCTATATCCAAATAAGGTTACAATCATAGATAGCTGTGATTAGGACTTGCACATTTGTTTTGGGAGGCACAATTCGACCTGTAACAGTATTGTAAATTTTTAACAGAACATGGACAATATGCTTATTTAATCCTGTTTAACACCTAGTCGGCCCTTTCACTTAGAAAATTTACTTCTTTCTTCAGCTCAAGAAAATTTTCTTCTATTATTTTCTTAATGGTTTCTTTCATTCCATTGTCTCTGATATGTCTTTATGGAACTTATGTTTGTTAAGATATTTAATTTCCATCTAGTTCATATTCTTTCTGTTTTATTTTCCCTTTTGATCCTTTATGTTTGTGTTCTAGAAGATTCCTTGACTTTCCCAGATTATCAACTTGCACTTCATTTCCTATCCTATCCCTTTCTTTTTCAGCCAATTTTGAAAAGTTTATTTGTGCAATCATATTTTAATTTCCAAGATTTCCTTTCTTCTTTCTGATTTTCATACTTTTTGGATGCAGTATGTACTCTGATTTTCTGAGAAGAATAATTACAATTATTTAAACGTTTTTTGCTCTTCCCTGAATCATCTCTGTTTTCACTGGGTTCAGTTATTCTTAATGCTCTTGGTTTCCCTGAGGATTCTGGGCCATATGTTCATAGATGGAAAGGTCTGTAATGGCTGCACAGGTTTCCAGTGCTGTTTTAAGGGTCTATTTCTCTACTAGCATTTTTGTATCAAAGGCAGAGCTGACACTGCGTTCTGGGGAAGGGGATGAATAAATGATGGTCAGGCTTTCCTTTGGAGAAAGTGTGTGTGTGTGTGTGTGTGTGTGTGTGTGTGTGTGTGTGTGTGTGCGCGCGCGCGCGCGCGCGCTACAAAGACAGGCTGGGAATACTAACAACTGTCAAAACAAGACGAGTTCTCTCGGGGGTCAGGGCCTCTGCAGGAGCTGTCTCCACCCTCCTCCTCCTCCTGCCTGGATGGAGATGTTGGAGTGACTTCATGTTGATTCTGCTTCTCTGTCAAGTTTCAACACCTTCATGTGCGTTCTCTTCAAGCAGATATTCCACTTTGTGAAGAGAACATTTCTGCATATCCCTACCTTTATCCTCTGGGTGAAAACTGCCGCCAGCATCCGCTGTGTGTGTGCTAGTCAGAGGGACGAGGCCTTGACTTCCAGCAATCCAGACGGTATTCTTTAGCGAGCTGCCTGGACACCCCATTTCCACTCTTAGAGTTGGCTGACTGTGCACCCAGGAACACACGTTCTAACTCTAATCTTGTAGAGTGGTTTCTTCCCTTCCTTCTCTGCTGGACTCATGCCATCCTTACTCCGCTTGCAAGAATGCCTCGCCATTTCTGTTTTCCTTTTGGCAAGCATTCTCATGTTTCAGTACTGTGACGAAAGTCTGATAAAATATAAAAAAGAAAATATAAATTTAAGTCGATTTTGGGAAGAAGGACATGTACTATGTGCCATCTTCTAAAGCAGGTTTTTTTATACTCTTTAATTTTTTACTTTTCACATATATTTTGCCACATAAAATTTGTGTGTGTGCATGTGTGTGTGCTAATTACATTAATTATATTAATGAATGGCGGGCAGGATTTTATCAAGTGTTTTCTGTCTGTTTTCTGATTTTTCTTGGCATCTGGGAGAGTGCAGATTTGCATGGTTGTTATACAGTGTTTGTCTTCTACATTGATGTTGTATCAAGTACACTTCAAACATTAATCATCAGAAAATCAAAGAAGTTCTTGAATGTTTAATGAGCCTGTTTTAGTAATTGGCCTTAAGAATTGAAATACTTAGAGGTTAAAAGCTTTTGCAGTTATATAAAACAACTTAATGGCAGAGTTTAAAGATTTGATTTTTCTTTCTAGTTTTAGTGAGATATAATTGACATATACCATTGCATTCACTTAAAGTGTACAAGCTAATGATTTGGTATGTGTCTATATTCTGAAATGATCACCCCAATACATTTATTTAACATCCGTAGTTCCAGTGTTTTTTTTCCTTATGATGAGAGCTTTTAAGACTTATTTTCTTAGCAATTTTTAAATATATAATACAGTATCATTAAGTATGGTCATCATGCTGTACGTTACATCCCAGGATCTATTTTTTTTCGTTTGTAAAAAAATGTTCTGTGTCTTTAAGATTATATGTAAGCTGCTGTAGTCAAATTAAGAGGAAAATATTTTAAATCCTTCTTTTTCAGCAAAGAATCGGGGAATCGCCATTCCAGTGGATTTAGACAGCCAAGTCAATACTCTTTTCATGAAGAGCCACTCAAACATGGTGCAGAGAGCAGCCATGGGCTGGAGGCTCTCAGCTCGCTCGGGGCCACGCTTTAAGGAAGCTCTTGGAGGGCCTGCTTGGGATTATAGAAATATTATTGAAAAGTTACAGGTAAAATGAAAGCATGAAATGACTTCTGATTTTCTAAATTATGAATTTCAATATACGTAGTCACACAAAGAAAGTATGGTTAAAAATAGCAAATTCTAGTTGGGGGCCAGGCTTTACTTTACAGTTCCCTACCAACACTATCTTTCTTACATGCATAGCTTCCAGGTAAAAGTTATTGTGAGCTGCTTTTTAGTTAGTATGTATTATTTAATGTGTTTTGATAGTATGGTAACCGGTCTTAATATCAAGATAATAGCCGTAAGAGCAATAATAAGATTTGGTAAAATGATTTACCATAAAAACTCATAACTTGCTTCAGTGTATCTCATAGTGTTCTGTTTGGTGAGCATGGTGTAAGCACCTTCACTCCCCAGGTATTTGCATAATATCCCATTTCTGTATTTGGCCTGGACATTCTGGGACGTGGAGTGAAGAGAGACACTGTGTTAGTCTGCTTGGGCCGCCACCAGAAAATAGCACAGACGGGGTGGTTTAACCACTAGAAATTGGTGTTCTCACAGTTGTGGAGCTAGAAGCCCAGGAGCAAGATACTGACAGGTTTGTTTTCTTCTGAGGCCTCTCTGCTTGGCTGACAGGTGGCTGGCTGGTCACGGTGGCCTCGTACAGGTCTTCCTCTGTGCCGCACAAGTCTGTATTTTTAGCTCCTCTTCTCATATTGGCTTACAGCCCACCCATACTAATTAATTTTATTTTAGTTACCTCTTTAAAGGCCTAATCTCCAATTACAGTCACATTCTAAAGAACTGGGGGTTAGAACGTCAACATATGAGTTTTCAGGAACATACAGTTACCTATAACAGACATCTTCCTGCCCACATACTTGTAAATGTCACAGAGCAAATTAAGGTATGATCTGAGGAAATTTTTTGACTTGCAGAGTAGTCAAGACATGGATTGGAGTAAATATTATGAGAGGCCGCATGCAGATTAATTGGTGCCGTTTTCATAGATGAGTGTTATATGTGATTAAAAAGAACATGTTAGACTCACTATGAGAAACTTGAAAGCTACAAATCATTGAAAATGTGGCCAGTACATCTGAGTGAGAATTTATTATAAGTGATTAAGCAGTTATTCATTTGCAGGGTAGAATTATCAGGAAGAGACTAAAGAAAAGCAGATTAGTTAGGAATTACTAAAGATCTCAGCTAGGCGGTGGTATGAATACAGTGAAGAAACCGGTGTGGCGTACAATAATGAAGACAGGGTCAACAGACCTGGTGGCTCTTAGATGGAGAGGGCATGGGAGCATTTAAGAGGCACTGATGGTTGGAGACGAGGTGATAATACTAAGTTTCCTTATTGTAAGAGGGAAGGAAAGAATGCATTAGAAGAATGTTGCCTGTGGTCATCAACAATATGCAGAACTAGGTTACCAGGCTATGTATTTTTGAATATATTGGAAGTTAAATTTCTGTTTAGAGGTGATACTTGGAGAGAGGATAGTGGATGGTGTTGCTGTATGAGGGAATATGGTGTTAGGAAAAGAAAAGAACATCTTGGGAGAGGCCACGAGTGGCAGAATGGCCAACTAAGAGAGAAAAGGGCAGGGTCAGACAGGAGGTTCATGAGAGCCAAAGGTGTAAGACACTTAGGAGAGACAGATAACACTGTCACCTTGCATGGAAGGTTATGCCCTAAACATCTTGTAGCACAGGCATTGGCATTCATTAAGTGAGTATGTATTTGGTGAAAACTCTATACCAGTCATAGTGTGCGAGAAATAGAGTCAAGGAGCTATGCCCTCATTGAGCATGTGTTCTAACCCATTCAGTACAGGATAAATGTTATATAAGTAAAACTTCTATGAATAAAACAAGGCAGGGTAACAACATAGTGAAGGACTGCTGTGAGGATGGTCCTCTAGTTAGGGACCTCCTCTCTACTGAGGTGGTGTTTGAGTTGAGACCTGAATAGTGGAGAGGACTACTCCGTTCAAAAATCTGAGGACAGGCACTATTATGGGGAGGGAATAGTGAATGCAGAGGTGCTTAGGTAGGAACAGAATGAGGTGGGTAGGTTCGAGGAACCGAGAGGAGCCCACTGGGGCAGGAGTTTAGTGAGCAGAGGAGGAGAGTCTTAGGAAGCAAGGAGCCAAATCATGTAACGACTTACACGGCAAGGCCTTTGCATTTTATTTTCAGTGAGATGGCATGTTACTGGAGGTTTTCAGCAGAGGATGGGCGTGACTTGGTTTATCTTTTAAGAGATGACTGTGGTTTTTGAGTGGTGAATGAATCATAGGGTCCAGACATGGAAGCAAGGAGTCGGCTACTTCAGGCAAAAGGTGATGGTGGCTTGCCTTAATGGGATAGCAATAGTGATGAAGAAAAGCGGATGAACTGGGCATATATTTGGTTGCAGGGCCAACAGGACTTGTAGATGGATGGATGAGTTGTGGGGTGATGGGAAGAGCCTGGGTTTGATATGACCGGATCATTTGTTAAGACAAGGAAGAATGGGAGAGTTTGAATCAGGAGTTCTATGTGGGGGATTTTAAGTTTGAGATGCCTATTTGGATACCTTTGTGGATATGTCAAATAGGCAGTTGGATATATGAATCTAGAGTGCGTTGGAAAGGTATCCATGCAGGAAATGTAAATATGAGAAGTTTCAGCATATATATGGTATTAAAACCATGAACTTGGATGAGATCCCTCACAAGAAAGTGTAGATGTAGAAGAGAAAGGACCAAGAGCTACCAGGAATTGGCAAAGGAGTGGTCAGGGTGTGGGCGGAAAATGAAGGAAGTGTGGTGTCCCAGAAGCCAAGAGAGAAAGAAAGTGCCTGACAGTGGGAACAGGTGCGTGAAACGCTTAGCAGCGGTCAGATAGGATGAGGATGGGAAATTAACTACTGGATTTGGCAACGGGGATGATTGTAGCTAACTGGTCCTCAGTACTAATGATCATTAACATTTGTTGAGGAATAATAAGCTGTCAGTATGTGCTAAAAGCTGCTCTGTGTACTTACCTTCAGTCCTCACAGCAAACCCATGTGATTGCTAATATTAGCCTGAATTTTCACACAGGCAAATAATGAGAAAGAGGACAGTTGGCCCATGACCAAAATATGAGATGAAAACAGAATCCACATCATAGGGGTCTGAGCACAATTTGTTTAGTAATGAATTAAAGAGAGATAATCTGAAAAATAGCTACATTTTAGTGGCATTTTATTGAATATGGTCATAGTTTTACAATATGTACAATAAGATTTGTGCATCTTATTGTATGTAACCCAATTAAAAAAGAAAGAAATGAGCTATCAAACCATAAAAAGACATTAAAGGAAAAAAAAAGTGGCAAAGGTCATTAAAAGAAACAATAAATAAGTAAGTAAGTTAGTTTATATTTCAGAAGCATGTTCTCTTCCCACCTTTATAGAATACTGGTTCCCCACTTATGTTATTTCCTTCCTGGCATTCTTTTTGAATTGTCATCAGAAATTTGTCAGGAAAGTTATTTAGAGTAGTTGAAGTAGAAATGATCACTTTTGCAAGAAAGGGAAGGAAGAGCTAAACACAAGTCATGAAGAGGGACGGCGCCTCAGTCTGTGTCGCTGTAGCTGAGTAGCAATAAGCAACCGGTAGTCAGTGTTCTGCCTAACAAACTATGCCGCAGGTATGGACGAATAAAGCATTACTTTATGTGTGAAGATTTTGTGTGTGTGTTCAAACATAGTTATTTTAAAAAACAAAAATGGGGCACTTGAATCATTAAAGAATGTTCAATGAATATTCATTACCATAGTCCATTTTAGAGACACGTCAGTCAGGATGCTTTCAGCTATAACTAACCCAACACTCAACTACGAGCGGCAAACGTAAGAAATGCATTATTTTGCATAGCAAGGAGGCCGGAGTTCTGGCTCTTCCTGGTTGGTCAATTCAGCAGCTCAGCAGGTCAGGGCCCTAACAACATCGGTCTGTTGTGTTGGCCTTCCTCTTAAGTTTGGTCTCCAGAGGTCGTATGTGGGTTGCCTCCCATTTTGGACTCACACTCTCAAGCTCTCTTGAGAGGCATAGGCAGTTCTAAGGGTCCATCCCTTCCTCCCCCAAAACACCCCCTCCCCACCTGCTCAGCAGATTTCTCCTGATGTGCTATTGGCCAGGACTGTGTCACATAATCATGCTTAGGCCAATCGCTGGCAGGGGAAATGGGGTGACCCTGGCCTGCTTAGAGCCTAAGCTGGGGAGGCTCACCTTCCCGAGAATGTTGCTACCTGATTGAGAAACTACATGGTGATTCTATTAGCAAGGAACAAGGGAAGGCTATTGGGTAAGTGACCAATAGTTTCTTATCAGAAAATGTAATTTGAAATATTGTTAAATGCCCTTGAACACCTGTGTGGTACTAATACTACTTAAATAATGGATCAGGGAATTTTCACATTGGAAGGAATGGTTAGTCCCACATGGCCAGTGATGTATACGAAATCTCTTTTAAGCTGTTCCTGGAGCATACCTCAATTTATTCCAAGTTAATGAATACCTTTCATGTCTCTGTTACAATCCTAGACACTGTGGGTCCTGTAACAGTGGTTTTACTGAGTTTCATCTTCTATGTGTATCCGTGTGTTCCACCCTTCTCTTACAAATTGAAAGGAGACCCAGGCAGTATATTTACAAAGAAGACCAGACTCTAGTTAAAGCACAGACCTTGGGCACCATGGGAAGGTGGGGTGCATCTTCTCTGAAATCCCTACATCTCATTCCTAGTTGGCATCCTTAGATTTGTTTGTCTTCAGAGGCTGGAATTTGACGTGGGTCATCACCAGGGGTTTTATGCTTATTCCTCAGGATGTTGTGGCCTCCTTGGAGCAACAGTTCAGCCCCATGATGCAGGCTGAGTTCTCAGTGCTGGTCGACGTGTTGTACAGTCCAGAGCTACTGTTCCCCGAGGGGAGCGATGCAAGAATAAGATGTGGCGCTTTCATGTCCAAGTAAGTGGCTGTAGTCTGAGATTCTGCAACTATTGCCAAACATACGGCTTCAAACGCATTTCTGCCCTTTACTCTACTGGTACGTAATACGGGCCAGAGAGTATGGGAAAGGTCTAAAATCTATGTACTTCCAACATAATTAATTTGATTCAACTGAAATTTAATTTTGGTGAAGGTCAAGGTATCATATTTTATTACAGTTTACTGAAAAGGGTGTGTTTTATCATTGGGCACAAAATACCACATAAAATCACAAAATATTTTGGTTCTGATTCATCTCTATAACTGCATGGTGGGACTTAAAAAAAATTCCTGTTCAAAGTCACTAGATTTTCATTACCAGAGAGGAAGGGAAGAGAACTAGCCTTCATGAACTCTTATTGTGTGCTAGCATCCCGTGTGTTTACCTATTTTCTCTAATGTGTGCAAAGGTCTGAGAGATTGGCAGGCCAGTCTCAGGCAGGCTTTAAGTCAAGAGCCCTTAGGTCTCGTTCCAGCTTTCAGCCGTGCTGCCTTCTTGATCCTCAGCTACGGCTCTTTTATTTACTTATTTCTCTCGATGGTTTTGTGGTGTTGTCCTATCTGTTGTAGTGGGTATGTTTATCCTAGACGGTTTTCACTTTAGTGGTATATGAATAATTCTCAAGGAAGATCTGCAAGTAAAGCAGTTATGAAGAAAAGTATAACCAGCTCCAGACAGAATATGATGAGGGCACTTCATTGAGTGATTTGCAAGTAATCACATATAGACTCCATCCGGGCAGTCGAAGGTACTTGGTGGTCTTGGGGAGAGTATCTGTATGGAGAGTTGGACATGGCTGCTGGCTCCCTTGACCATTACCCATCACAGCTAATTCCTGTGGGGTGGAGGCTTACTGGAGAGGCCTCTGAACCTCTTCTGTGGATTGTGACTGAGGAATAGGGAACACAAGAAGTGTGTTCCTTTCATTTACTAAGTAAAGCTGGGAGAGAAAACAAGATATGGGATGAGAAGTGACTACAGGGATCATGTTAAATAGGTGGGGTTCTTTAAAAAATCAGTAATAAACCTGCGAATTTTAATTCCAGGAAATTAATAATGACACTATAGATATATCCCAGATACTTGATAGTCTAGAACAGGGATTATTGACAAGCTTTGGCCCACAGGCCAAATTGGTCCTCTTGCTCAGTTTTTCAAATAAAGTTTTATTGAAACACAGCCACACATGTTCACTTACATACTGTCCGTGGCTACTCCCGTAACTATTATAGCAGAGTTGACAAGCTGCCCCCGAGATTGCATGACACGCAAAGATTCAAAATATACTATTTGGCTTTGTAGAAAAAGAATTTGCTGATCCAGTGTCACGAATTAGGCTGTCAATACAGTGGCTGCTAGATCACACACAATTATTTAGATAAAAATAAAAATAAAAATAAAAAGTTTCAGTTCCTACATTTGCCAAATTTTAAAGTACTCAAGAGCCATATGTGGCTAGTGGCTAACAAATTTGACAGCACAGATACAGAACATTTCAGTTACTGCAGAAAAATTTCTGTTGGTTGGCACTGGTCTACAACTTAGAAGATTCAGGTCTCTGAGAAGGTGATACAGAGTAACTCAGAATGTCAGGAAAATGTTGACTGTGCGGAGGATGAGGCAAGTCTGTTGCAACATCAGGAAAACTGAAAGGAGAGAAGCAGGATGATAGGGCAGTGGGAGCTCATATGGAGGAAAAGGTGTGACACCTACTTTAGTGGTTAGAGAAGAGATTTTTTTTGGTCCTATTTTGATCGTATTATGGCCAGAGGCACAGGAACGTCTATTTTCTGCTCTGATGCTTCTCCTTCTCCTTCTCCAACCCTGTGAAGGACCAAGGGTTTTATTTGCAAGGATGTCTAATAAAATTAGAATCCAACTTGATTAAAAAGCTAATAGGCCTTGTGTTACTATGCACAACTCTCTGGTAAAGCTTAGTTGGAGAACATAGTTTATGTCCAAGGGCTCAGTGGGTCTTCTGACTTCTTGAAATGAATTTATTTCTTGATTCATATTTGATTCATATGAATCTGCTGGTGAACGTGAGAGACAGACCCCAGGAAAGAACCTGAATTCACATATCCACTTAGTCACGCAGTGAGAGAGAGAAGAGACCTTAACCTTTAAGGCATGTGGTTATGATCCATTCAAATCAGCATTTACTCCTCCTTTATGAAGGACAGTCTCAGTAGTTTTCAAATTCTGGGGTGTTATCTATTTATGGATTTAAAACAAGGAAGGAGAGCCAACCATTAATTTAAAAAATGAATTAGGAAGTATATAAAATATCAGGTAGTCCACCTCAAATACTATCTCATACAATACATCTCACGTAGTAAAGGTAACTTTTGTGTTAGTTTTACAAGCACGCACATAAATATATATTTATATGGTGGGTTGTTGCATGAAACTTACTTTTTACTTAGATCACAGAAAAAATATTTGACTGATCTATCGCAACCAAACATTATGTGATAGATCAATACCTTATAAAAACTACTAGCAAATGATATTCATCCTTACGCTTAAGAGTTTCAAATGGTTAGTGAATGAAAAGTTTATTTAAAGAGCAAAGAAGATGAAAATAGCCTAAGAGAAAAAAATTAAAAGAAATTTGCAGTGCGCACCAAAACTATGTTCATGTATTCAGAGACTATCACGCGAGGGACCAAACAGAAGAGAAGCAGGTTTTTTCCTTGAAAGGTGAACTTTAGAATAATTATTTGTGTGCTGGACCTGACCCCATAATATCTTGCCCAGATGGGACATAGCTTAAAGTAAATCACTGTTCCTTCCCTGTGTGCATGACATAGATAGAATCTAAAAGTATCACTGTCCATCTACCAACCTAATCAGTGCACCTCAGGCATCTGTGATTGGCCCTTCTCTGTTCCAACTTGCACATGTCATTATTTACCAAGTCGTGGCTATTTTGTTTCTCTCCTGCTTCTTGCATCCTTATAGCATCACGGGCCCTGTTCATCGCTTGCCTTGTTCTCACTCTTGCACACATAGGCCAGGTCATTCAGGTCCTTTACAATGTCCCCTTTTTTCTATAGAGTAAATTTCAGACTCATTAGCACAACATTCTTAGCTCCTTCTTTTCAGGTCGCATCTCTCGCGCTCTCTCCTCTTGCTGTGTGAGTATCAGCTGGCAGTTGGAGTACTTATCACTTCCTGGACATCATGGTCAGCGTGCTGCCCCTCCCTTTGTTCATACTGTTCCCTTTGCAAGGATGCCTTCTCTCCCATCTCTCCCCGAATAAATTTAGAAGCACTGAGATATACTGCCTGCAAAACAAAGGCTGTTTTATAAGACAAAGTTCATAAGCTGCGGTGTAATTTTAAAACTTTGGAAAACAGGTATCTTGTTTACTTTATCCTCTCAAATAATAGTGTGATTTGCTTTTCCTCTAGTCTATGTTGTTAGTAGATAGCTTGAAGAGAAATCACTGCCCTGTTTAAAGTTCCATGTTTTGCTTTAAGGTTGATAAATCATACAAAGAAACTAATGGAGAAAGAAGAAAAGCTGTGCATTAAAATTCTTCAGACTTTACGAGAAATGCTAGAGAAGAAAGACAGCTTTGTGGAAGAGGTATTTTAAAAAAAATTTTTAGTATTTCAAAATAAAATAGAATGTCTAGAATATTGTAATTGATGAATTACAGTAGAATGTTATGTGATTACTTGTAGTACATGTTAATGACGTGTGCTTCAATGAACTAGATAATTTGAATGTTAATGGTATTCAATTTTTGTGTCTGTTTTGAATTGAAAAATAAGATTAGAATCGCCCCAGTTTTTGGCTTATTTGTTTTATTATATTTTATCATGAACAGTATATTTTTCTCATAGAGTTTCAATGGATCAAAAGACCTTTTTAACAATGACCAACTGAGATTCCTGATCAAGATTTTGTCTAAGTTTCTGCTGCATTTTGAAATGGTCTGTGCATCTTGGCATATGCTGATTTTTTTTATTGCAAATATACATTTCATTTTCTATAACGTTGATCAAGTATTATAAAATGCTGTTGTTTATACATGGAATAGTAAGGTTAGTATTGCACAGATGATTTCCAGGGACTATCAACTTATAGATAATAATTATCAGTCTGTTATTAAAAACGACAGCTCAGGTGCTCATTAAGAGATAGCTGGCAGCATGTTCAGTGCTCAAGGCGATAGACTTAAATATAAAGTATAAGTCTAGCACAGTTTTTTTTTTTTTAGCTGGTTACCTACACTTTTATCTTAGATGTCAAACAAAATTTGTACCATGTTCTTTAATAACTTTTTGGTCTGTTTCTGTAAATACTGATCATCTGATACATTTAAAATTGGAGGGATTTTATTTATTAATTTACGTATATACTATCTAATACCAAAATGACTGCAGTGGCGGCTGTTTTTAAAAAAATGTCATGTAGGAGAGAAATGCAATGGGATCTTGGATATTAATAGAAAGGGTGTAACTTCAAAATACTCATTGGAATCAGATGTTTGCTTCAGTAATCAATAGGACTGCTTTTTCTCCTTACTTCCCTCCATCATTTAAGCTATGTTTAGGAAACAAATTATTGAAATAGAGGTGACAAGTGCAATGTGTTTCTGTGTGTCACACGATGTTTCTGTGACAAGGACTCAAAAAAATGCTCCTAAGTTTGAGTATGTGGTATGCTTTTAAGAAATGGTAAATGGGTTCTTTGGGGCTTTCTGGTGTATTTCTCTGGTTCCTTGAAATATTGCTGTAGATGCCTTGATTTTGACTGAAGTACTAGACCCTACAGTGGAAAAATGGGGTCCATAAACATTTTTGACGGAAGAGTGAGGGTTATGATAACAGTAACTTGTGCTTAACAGGAGATCCACGAGAAGCCTTCCAATTTTACGTAACAGAGTAATATTGAGTTACTCCAAAGGAAAACAGGGAAGACATCAAGTATGGTTTTCCTTTGACTAGTCCAGAGTATTTAGTGAATCTCTCAAACCACCCTACAATAAATCATATCGGCATCCATTTCTCCTTGCCATTCCCACTGCTGTCACTAGTTCCGGCTTTCATTACCTCTTGTCTAGAAAATTCCAGCAGGTGCCGTTCCCTGAAACTCCTTCAAGGGAGGCGGGCCTGCTGTTTGCATAATGCCAAGGGGCAGCATCCATATGCGATACCATGTGAATGGCACCACCAGGACTTGGCCCTCAGGGAAATGTAACTGTGAGAAAGTCCAATTGGGGTTATTCCCTCCGTCTCACGCATGTATGGTGAGTCACTATCAGATGCTTGTATGCCTGGGCACTGGGGATAATGAGGTGAACGGCATGAATGGACGGCTTGATGGGGGCCATGTGGTACAGCTGTACAGTTTCCATGCAGGTAGACCCCTGTGACAGCTGGCAGAGCTCAGAGGAGCCTTTCCGTAACTGCCAGGGCTCTGCGCCGCCCTGACGTTCCAGGCCCTCCTGATGCCCTCTATGCTTCTGCCCCCAGCTTTCCTCCTCCATCTGTCTCCAGAAATCTGTGTTACTCAGTGTGCCAGAAACATCCCTCAGGCTTCCCTTGCACTGAACCTTGCTGCATCTGGAGTCATGGTCCCCTGAAATCCAAATGCAGTCAGGCCCCCGGTGGCATCCTGTGGGGGTGCTAGTGTAGCGCTTGCCAGCTGTTCCAGCCAGTGGTGCCTTTCTCAACAGAATTACCAGAGTAACCTCGTGCCTCCTTTTTATGACACTTTGGGCTGTTTCTGCATTGTTAGTCAAAGCTTCTTATTATATAAATGGTGCCACTGAGGCCCAGAGAGGTTATCCTAGGTCACCCAGCAAGTGCCAGACCAGAGCTTCCACTGGCTCAGTTATCCATGCTGGTGGAGGGGAGCTCAGTGACCCGCCAGTCTGGTTGAAATGTCACTGAGTAACAGACTCAGAAACTGATCAAAGCTCTTATTTTACAGCCTTGTGTGCTTGTATGCTTTCAGAAGAGAACCATTGGTTATAAATAATGGGCTGGTAGGGGGCTGTGCTCTCATGATTGTCAGTTTTCTATTTACTGAAAGCTTAGTGGTTTATAATCACAGAAATTCATTACCTTACAGTTTTGGAGGCAAAAGCTTAAAGTCAAGGTGTTGGCAGGAGTGTGTTCCTTCTGGAGATTTGAGAGGAAAACTTGTTTCTTTGCCTGTTCTAGCTTCTGCAGGACTCCTGCATTCCTTGGTTCTTGACTTTGCTCCATGTTCAATGCCAGCAGTACAGCATCTTCCAACCTCTCTCTCTCTCTCTCTTTCCATCATCACCTTCCCTTCGCTCACTCTGACCTTCACCCTTCTCTCTTATAAGGGTATTTGTGATTACATTGGATCCACCTGGATAATTCTGTATACTCTCCATATATAATTACATATATATATATATATATATATGTAATTCCATATATCTCAAGAGCCTTAATTTAATCATATCTGCAAAGTCCTTTTGTCATGTCAAGTAACATAGTCACTGGTTCTGGTGGCCAGGGTATAGACAGATTTGAGAAGAGTCATCCAGTATATCCCAATGATCTTTTTAATGGTAATGAGAAATGGCATAGAATGTATACATGATGCACCGCTTATCTGTGGCTGATTAGAATTACTGTATAGGCAAGTTTAAATGTGAATGAATATACCAAAGATTGCTTTGAATTTATAGCACTTTGCTGCTTTCCAAGTATTTTTAAATATTTTGCTACATTTCAGCAATTCAAGGAAGTATATAGAGCAGGCAGTGTCATCTCCACATTTCTAAGAAGAGAGACTCGGAGAGATGAATTGCCATAAGTCACATAGATTACCTAATGTCTGGTTATCTAATATCTAATTAACTGGATTTCTACTCTCGGTGTATTGAAGCATTCCCAAGAGATTTCTCAGAATTAAAACAGGAAACTCATGCCAGGGTTTTTAGCACTAACTGTCCTAATACAGGTTTCCCCACTACTTGTGGGGGAGCGTTCCTATGAAACTTTACATAAGCTGAAATGGCATAAAGCAAAAACAATCACCATTTTAATTTTTTTCTTTCCCTCTTGAAAACCTCTTATTGATTGTAATGTCCAGTAAACTTGTTCTGTGCTTACAAACTCAGTAAATTATATGTAGTGTGCACACTAATGAGTGGTATAGAAAATGCACATATGCAAATGTCAGTCTGTAGCATATGTCATGTATTTATTTACTAGCCTAACACATAAAGTTGAATTGGGTTAATTCAAATAAGACTACCACTTAAATCCTTTTTACTTAATCCTCAGTCTCAGGGCAGCAGTCGTAATTTAAAGCACAAAAATCAATATTCCCATTATTTTCTCTTTGTGAGTGGGGAACTTAATGTTGCAGAGGAAACAGCCAGTGATCAATAGATTACCTTATTTTTTTAAATTGAGCATATAGTTGACATACAACATTACATTAGTTTCAGGTATACAGAAGAATGATTTGACAATTACATGCATTATGAAATACTCACCATGTTAAATGTAGTTGCTATCTGTCACCATACAGTAATTATAATGTTATTGACTATATTCCTTGTTGTACTTTTCATCCCCATGACTTATTTGTTTTATAATTGGAAGTTTCTACCTCTTTATCCTCTTCACCTATTTCATCTATACCCCCAAACCCTCCCCATCAGGCAATTGCCAGTTTGTTCTTTGTACTGATGAGTCTATTTCAGTTTTTTTGTTTGTTTTTTAGATTCTACATACAAGTGAAATCATGTGGTATTTGTTATTCTCTATTTCATTTAGCATAATCCTTTCTAGGTCCATCCATGTTGTCACAGATGGCAAGATTTCATTCTTTCTTAATGGCTGAGTAATATTCCACTGTGTATATATACCACATCTTCTTTGTTCATTCATCTATTGATAAATAGGTTGCTTCCATATCTTGGCTATTTTAAATATCTCTGTAATAAAAGTAGGGATGTATATATGTTTTAAAATTAGTTATTGTTTTCTTAGGGCAGATACCCAGAAGTGGTAGGTCATCAGATATTTCTATTTTTAATTTTTGAGGAATCTCCTGTTTTCCGTAGTGGCTGCACCAGTTTACATTCCCACCCCCAGTGTAGGAGGTTCTATTTCCTCCACATCGTCACCAACATTTGTCATTTCTTGGCTTTTGGTATAGTCTTTCTGACTGGTATGAGGTGCTATCTCATTGTGGTTTTGATCTGCATTTCTCACATGGTTACTAATGTTGAGAATCATTTCATGTGTCTGTTGGTCATCTGTATGTTTTTTGGAAAAAAAGTCTATTCAAGTTCTCTGCCCATGTTTAGGTCAGAATATTTGTTTATTTTGGTGTTGAGTTGTATGAGTTCCTTATACGTTTCAGATATTAGCCCCTTAACGGATATATCATTTGCAAATACATTCTCCTATTCAGTCAGTAGGTTGCTTTTTTGTTTTGTTGATGGTTTTCTTTGTATCACTAATTTATATGGGAATTTTTTTGAGCATGCCCAGACCCCAAAAGTAACCTCTCTTAGGCCTTTCTGATACCTTAGGACACATCTTGCTAATGGATACGCAAAATAAATCGAGATGAGGTACAGA